GGGGAGGTAATAGTTTAGGACTTGATTCCAACGGACATAATTGGACACTGAGTATTGGGTGAGGTTCGACACAAAAAACACAACGGAAGATCTGCCTACAGCTTCTCTGGATAAGGTGGAAGTAGCGATCTACACGGCAACATGGACACAACACCGTGGTCTAACCGTCTCGGGCGGCGCCAGACTAGGATGATATCGCCGCTTGCCCGCCCCGCGCCAGCCCGCCCGGGCCAGCAGGGGCACAGCAGGCCGGCGGCCGGCGCCGTACTGTCACTTGCGCGGTGGCGGGCGTCGAGGCTGCGGGCGGGCTTGCCCGCGGGCGGCGGGCGGCGCGGGGGGCGGGGCCTGCGGAAGGACGAGGCGAGCTGCGCCAGCAGCCCTCCGCCGCCCTTCCGCCGGCCGGGCCCGCGCCGCGGCCCCGCCGCGCCCGCGCCCGGCCGCCGCCGCGCCGCCGCGGCCGGGCTGCTGCAGCATGCTGTCGAGGCTGCCGGCCGTGAAGGAGTTGCGCTTGCGGTTGCGGAAGAACTGCGTTGGCGGCGGGCGTGGGCGAGGCGTCGGAGGGCGACAGCAGCTCCAGCGAGGAGGAGGGCGCCTCGCCTTGGCGCCGCCGCCGATGATGGCGCGCAGGCCGCCCTTGTGGCGGTGCCGCCCTTGCGCGCCTTGGGCAGCCGTGTGCGCGGCGGGCGGCGCGCGAGCGTCGGCGGGCACGGCGGCGGAGCGGCGTCGAGGGCGAGGGCGGGGCGAGGGCGAGGGCGTGGGCACGGCCAGGCAGTAGGGCCGCCGGGAGGCGGGGCCGAATGCATTTGCTGCAACAATGTAAATGTGTTTTTTTTGAAATTTCTGTGTGAATTTCCCCCACATTATTCAATTTGTTTTATTTTCGACAAATCACTCGGAGGTTCTTTTGAGTCCACTTCATCTTAACTCCATACTTCACCCACACTATTTTAAATTAGAACATGCAAAATTAGTAAAACGGAAACTTCGGACTAGCAGATACACCATCGTATGTAAGGCGAGAAGCGCCTTTGCGTTTGCGACCAAGGGGATTCACTAGCGCCAGTGGTGGAATGGAAATCCGATCGAGGCGACTCTTTGTTTGAGGGGAGCATTCGAACGGTCCAGAAAAAAGACGTTAAGTCACCGGCTACCCGACTACTTATAGCTGTAGAAAAGCTGGAAGAGCTAAGGAAGTCGTTAAGCCAACTCTTAAAAATGAGAAGAGAGGTAAACTTTTAAAGTATCAATTCTCTGCTCAAAGTTTGTCACACTCGCCAAGAACCGAGGGACCCATTGAGAACTCAAGGCTGGTTCTCATTCATGTAAATTGATTAATTTTCACATAGGTGTACAATTATTCAGGAATTTATATACTAGGTACAAAAATTTAAGAACAAACTACAAACATTACATTTTAAATATAACTATAAAAATTAAAAGTTGTTTGAATATCCAAAATACATGTTTCTGCATGTACGAAAGTCAAAATTGATTAGTCAAAATTCAAAGGTCAGGATACATCGCGTAATAATATGAAGAAATGTTTGCAGATCAGCAAAAACGTTTTTCTATCTTCATTTATGTGTATTAACAATTGGGGTCATGAAAGCATTTCTCACAGACAGCCTTTCGCTATTTCAATAATTAGACCGCCGTTACTCCCGATGTTAATAAAAACGTTTCCCACTTCATTTTTTCTGGAATATCGACATTTTAATTCAGTGTTATGATACTAGCAATGCATTCTCATATTTGAACTCAGCAACAGCACGTCTTTCTGGCGAGTTCTCCAAAACGATTACATCAACCAAGGCCTTGATGGAAGAGGCGCGCACAATTCTTCACACGCGAGTAATCGCATTTAATTTTAATAATTTTATTACAGCGAGCTTATTTAACCCTTCTGGGCGGTATCTAGAATGAATACAATGGCAATTTGCCTTGGTTGAGGAGACAAGAGTGGTGTGGCCGCATCAGCAGTTTAGCAGCTGAATGCAACTCCCGCCTGTGATTTTACAGTAAAAAAGTAAGAAATTGTACACGAAGTATAAAAGTAAACATAGCGCACTAAACATGATAGAATCCAATAAAAAACATGGAATAATGTATCAATTACATTACCTACAATACAGCAGTGGCGGCTTCAGATACAAATTTGAGGGAGGCGGGGGGAGGCATAAAATTCGTGAATGGGAAGTGGAGGGGCTGTGGAAAGGGAACAAGACTGTGGCTAAATTTAATATGCGAAAAATACATAATATTTTGACATTTTTCAAATTTCGATCACACAATGCAAGATATTAAGTTGAACATTTTTAATAGAAACATAATCTATAAAATTATCATTAATTTTAAGAGTTAAGGGATAAATTTATAGAGATGTTTAAGGCTAACACCTCATCATGACATTGATTCTGTGCACTACTGCACGCTGGAGGCGAATCGGAGGAAACGTATTTGGTGACGGAGTTCAAAAACTTGTCTACATGTAGCACTGGACATGCTTCAAGAAAACATTTTCCTCGAGTGTCACCGATTGTTGAAATTTTCACAAATTCAAAGCGTTGAGCTTCCGGCACCACTGTATTTGGCTACACTGACATAGGCCACAGCTCTCGAACGTCCTTAACCAACAAAGGAAAAGACAAAATATAAAATACCGGACTTTTTGAATTCGGAAATCTGAGATTAACGTGGCGAACAACTACTTCAACGTCAAATACCATACAAAAGGAAAGGGAAGATGGATGTGTATTATTTGGCGGTGCCTCTTGAACCTCCCTTGCAAATACAGGCATGAATACAATTGTGTCGACTGTAAGATCAACTCTAAGACAACAGTAACTGCGTAATAAAACTAATGGCAGATAATGGTTTCATTAAAAAGAAAGAAAGAAAGAAAGAAAGAAAGAAAGAAAGAAAGAAAGAAAGAAAGAAAGAAAGAAAGGAAAGCATCGTACTGGCCGGCGCATCAGCCGCCGCCGTCTGCTCCCCGACGCCGGCGCTGCCTCCGCCCCCGTTGCAGGCGTCAGGCGGCGTGGCGAGACTGCCGCGCTGCTTCACCATCTGCATGGCACGTGCCAGGTCGCCCTGGTTGAACTCCTGCTGCGTGCGCTCGCGGCTCCCCTTGCGGCTGCCGGGGCAACTGCGCCGCCCGCTGCCCACGCCGCCGATGCTCGACTCCGTCGCGATCTTGAACTTGAGCGTCTTCTCGCTCACCTCCACCTGCCGCACACAGCCGCGAGGCGTGTTAAGTGCGCCTACAGCGCCCTTTGGCACCCGTCATTCCTTAACAGCCATCTGCGAAATATCTGGCTCTGCATTTAGAGAGAAGGTTTACATGGAAGAAACAGATATCGACAGGAAACAACTGAACATTAAATTTGAACAATTTTGTACTTATGGGTTGCAAATCTGCCCGTATATTTCGGAATAAATTGCTCATTATCAAGAATGTAATATCAAGTGCCCTTGAAAGTTGAATACCATTATATATACATAAAATATTTAAAATGGAATTAAACCCTTACTGGTGATACAGTATTGAATTATCGGGATCAACAATTAATTCCAATATTCAAGTAATATATAAGGACCCTTTTGTGTATATAAAGATATACAAAAAGGTCCTTATATATTATTTGAATATTGGAATTACAAAAAAATATACCTTTTTCGTTTTAAATTTGTTAGATGATTCCCTGGAGGATATTTCTGTGACAAATGGTAGCATAATTGAGGGGGGGGGTCGAAAGCGTTTTATAACTAGTACAAAAAAGTCCTGTTTCCTTATCGTGTTACATTAAGAGAGATGTTACTATAACGTGATTGAGTGGAAGAGTGGAAAGGTATGATTTAATTATATTGTTCGGTTTAGAATATAAGATAATTTGAGATTTTCCCTTTTCTAGTTATTAAACCAATCAAGAAGGGTGCGAATTGACGCTGGAAATGATTTAGCGTCGTCTGTGACGTACAGAGTCAGAAATTACATCTCATTTAATGTAGATTAATGTGCAATTGTACACCATTCTTAATGTGCCTTGTGCATTAAAAGGAGATTAACATACTTGTACATTAAATGTACTTGTATACTTGTACAAAAATTGTATTGTTATACTTGTACAAAAATTAAAATTAATGTAGATTCAATGTACGACTGCACATTGAACTTATTGTACCTTGTAAATTAACAGCAGATTAATATACATGTACATTAAATTTAATGTTTAAATTAAACTCAATTTAGATTAATGTACAACTGTACATGAAAAGTAATGTACCTTGTACATTCAAACGTGTTTAATATGTTTGTACATTAAATTTAATAATTAAATTAAAATTCAGCCATATTTGATATATTATTATGGAACAAAGATACTATTTAAAAACATAGAAATATTTTATTTCACTATTTGAACTAACGTATGATAAATTTAAAATATAATTTTTATTTGAGCTTTATATATTATTCTGTACAATAATTTATCGTTTTTTCACAAAACCATTTAGTTTAATGTTGAATTTGAACATTAAATATTCTCAGTACTGCGATTTTGCAAACGTTTGTATGTGTGGTCTCGTCTGGCTTTATTTTTCTGGCGACATAGGAAATTCCAAACCCTTCCGGTCTCTTGCAGGTAAAACAAAGGACGACGGGTTTCCCAGCCTGCCTATTTCAGGTTCTCAAGTGGCTCGGATTCATTCGGATTCTGAAGCTCTTGTCGAGTTCTTACGTGTGAAAGTAATAGTAGACTTTTCTAGAACGTGTGCTAAATCATAGAAACGTCATAACTTTCTGATATCAAAGCGTGTGAAACTTATGAATGCTATTCTTCACTTCCTGTTTGCATCACAGCAGTTTCCTAGAGCGATTGGCGATAAACATCGGGAGAAGTTGAAGCAATTCACAGATATTGGATTTGTGAAGGTAAAGTCTGATTAATATTAATTAGTATTATTTATTTAACATTATTTTCATTATTAACATTATTTAATATTATTTTCGTGAAATGTGTAATTTGTTATTATCCACTTTGATTGTGCTGCATATTGCAAGTGACTATCTAAATAACAATTAGTAATTTCAAGAATGACCAAAGAAGAAAGATAGGTAACATTATATAATTTTAATATTACCATCTACTAATAACATTACTAATAGTTTTGTTTCACATTAAATCGATTTTCTTTCTCGTTTTGTTCTTTTATTGTGAAAGTATCTTTCTCCTTTTTGTACTCAGTTCCTATGCCATCCATTGCCTCTTTCAGTTCTTTTTATTGTTATTTGGTTAACTGTGTAAAAAGGTAATCGAGAATAAATATTATTTATTAACAATAAAATTGTTACTTTCAGCGAAATTCTGAATATAAATCCAACAGAAGGAAACAAAAGGGCCACAAAATGTTGGCAAAAATGTTGAGTTCCGCAGTTTTAAAATTGTCCAAAAAGATAGAAAAAATACAATGAAGTGTTCATTGTAATAAGTTGCAAATTTTTCATTTCTAGAACGCTGATAGTTTTGTATTTTTGAATAAAATATTTTTTGTTTATTAATAAAAGTAAAATACTTATTCATTCTTCCATATTCAACAAATAAATTATATAAATATATTTTTGATAAAATTAATTCAATAACACTTGATACACAAGTTAGTGGAATAAGAGAACGTATGGGATAATTCAACTGTTTTTATATTTCCCTAAATTGAATATCCGAAAATTAATGTAAACGCGTGCATTATAATTAATGCAAACATGTTCATTGAAATTAATATACACGAGAGTTAAAAATAAAGTAATAAGTACATTGAAATTAATGTACACGTACACTAAATTTAATGTACACGTTGAAAGTAATGCAGAAATTTTTGACAGTGTAAATAATACTCAACCAAAACACGCATGCCAATGTTTGCTTCCACAAGTGTGAAAATTCAAACGTTTTTCACTATTTTCTGAAAAGGATTGGTGGCGCATTCCCCACGCTTTGGCAAGTTATTTCAAAAACCGCTGTTGTATTCCCACCATAAAGATTATCTCGGAATAAATGTTACAAACTTCTAGAACTTGCAGAGGGACAAAGGTGATTATATTTTGCAAATGAACATATGGTAGGAAATTTCATATATAGCATTTGTGGGCCTACTTAGAAGACAATTTACAATTCTTTGATGTTTTATTTGGCGGGGTTATGGAATTTCTTTGACCGCCGCAGAACAGTTGCGTGTGATAAGTAGTCAACCCATGAGGGACAAATGCAACATATGTAAGTTCGTTGTATGAGATTTCCCACCACAGATTTCTTTGACTAAATGTTGTCATTTTCGAGTCCCGTCCCCAACCCAGAAGATTGTAACATTCGCTCCAGTAGGGAAAGGGTGCGTACCTCCGTCGCTGTCTCGTCCTCGTCGTCCTCCTCGCCGTCGTCGTCGTCCTCGGCAGCGGCGGCGGCCGCGTCGGCGGTGGCGTCCTCGTCGGCGAGCGCGTCGGCGTCGGCGTCCTCCTGCTCCTCATGGACGGTGGCGGTGGCGGGCGAGGGCGCGGCGTCAGTCAGCCCGCCGGCGCCGCCGCCCACCAGCCCGTCCTCGATGTCGGCGGAGCGCGAGCGGCTGGCGATGCTGCGCCGCGACTTAACGCTGTGCGCGCTGCCGCTCTTGGCCAGGGAGCCCCCGCCGTCGCCGCCGCCCCCGCCGCCCACCTCGATCACGCTCTTGCGGTGGTGCGAGCGCTCGTTGAGGCGGCGGTAGTAGTCGAGGGCGTCGCGCACCGGCTGCACGATCAGCGGCACCAGCACCTGCCACCGCCACGCCCCCTCATGTCAGCCCCACTGCTCTCCAGTGCGCACACGCGACTCTGACGCCTCTCTCGCCAAGTGGCGCGGTACGTCATGTGACCTGCTCTGAAGCAATCAGCTTGCGAGGATTTGCTTACTTTCTCAAGTTTATGAATGTGATATCAAGACCTGCAATCGCCTGACGGTATGTTTTGAGATGTCATTTATCTGCCATGTAAGAGGTGCCATGAACGTACTAACGTGTGGCAACAACACACCGAACTGTCAGAGTCGCTTATACGCTGTCGGTTCTGTAGTCACTGGAGTCGCTCTGGCCGGCAGCGCACCGAGACGCCCCACATGGAGCGCATGCTGCCCTTTCCACGGACACACATTTTATATTTAGGGTGGAAATTTCTAATGCGAGCAGAAATTAAAAGAACACAATGCAGTCTCCGGCCATGTATATAAATATATGCCAGCCTGGGCCATAACTTCTAAAGTTTTAAAATAAGTGTTAGAATGCAAAAGTTTTGAATTAGTTAAATAGTAAACGAAGGTGTATTTTTCATGGATGTTGGTTTGTTCGAGATCGATGAACTGCGATCTCCATGGCACATGTACGAGTTCTTTCCACGGGGAAGGTTTTTATGCTTAATCGTTTTCTTGTAATTTCCCTAGATGGCGCTACAGCACAAGATGACGCTTTAGTTAAATGCAATCCCCGATCCAATTGAGCTGGGCGGCTGCCGTGTTACGCGGGGCGAGGTCAAGGAGGACAGGAGAAGCGGACAGCGCGGGAAGAGAGAGAGAGAGGGAGAGAGAGAGAGAGAGAGATGAGAAAATTCGTAAAAGAGAAAGGGAGAAGAGAGGGAAGAGAGAGAGAGAGAAGGGAGAGAAGAGAGAGAGAAGGGAGAGAGAAGAGAGAGAGAGAAGGGAGAGAGAAAAAAGAGAGAGAAGAGAGGTATGGAAGAATAAGAGGGAAGAAAGACAGGGAAGAGAGAGATGGAAAAAGAGAGAGGGGGAAAGAAAGAGAGGGTAAAAAGAGAAAGGGAAAGAGGAGAAGGACGTCTGCCACTTTCTGTTAGTATACTATATAACTATATAATATGGCTGCATCTTCACAGAGTGCAATATGATTGTGTACCTGTTTTTATTAAAATATTTAATTTATTCAAGGGTTACCCAAAAGTATTTTATTTGCAGTTCTTGAGCAGTGTGCATGCTGCGTTTAGGCAAACAATTTCATGCGGTTTCGTTTGTAGCATTTTCGCCGAGCGCTCCAATCGCGAGTGAGTGAGTGAGTGAGTGTGCGAGAGTTGGGGGGAGAGTACCTGGAAGAGCTCGCCGAGCGCCTCGAAGAGCGGCAGAAGCACGAGGCCGATGAAGCTGCACTGGGACGAGGGCTTCGTCACCTTGTCGCGGTCCATGAAGGGCGTGACGGGCAGCCCCTCCAGCTTCTCCGCGTCGCTCTGCTTGAAGAACTCCTGCAGCAGGCGGTCCAGCCACGGCTCCGCCACCTCCATCGGCCGCGCCTCGTTCGAGATGTCCGCCACTTTGATCAGCACCATCGACAGCTGCGCCCGAAACGTCCTTCACTTAACACACTGCCTCGTCAGAGTTTAAGAAAGCCAACAAACAATCAGCACTGATAACAAGATAAAATCAACTTTGCACTCCGTTTGCTCATGTAAATACGTTTCATTTGCAAACATTTCTAGGTTTTAAATGTCGCTAACCATGTTTTGTACACTTATTCATCATTCAACTAAGTATAGTTAAAAGGGTAGAGTTGGGATTCTATAGCTCAAGAAAACGTGCGCAGATGCAACATGCGAAAGAAAAGTCTCTCCGCACCAAGCCGTGCCAGGATCTCCTATTATAAATTGCATTTGTGTTTGTAGCAACCAGATCACTTGGAAATAAGTAAAGGGGCCAACTTTTACAGCATCTGATATGATTGTGGTGAGTTCGCAATTGACGTTTTCTTTTTATGCCTTCGCCTTCAAACGACACATAGTTTTTCTTTCTGTTTTTGACGAAAAAATTAAATCCAACATTGTACGTCATTAACGGCTAAAGCTACCTGTTAGTTCCGTGAGATTCAATTTACTCCATTTTATAAGCGGTACCAAAAGTCAATTTGTTGAAGTTTTGTTGTGGTTGTAGTTTTGATGATAGTATATTTAATACATAATATAGCATTTATGTTTGATGAAGGCTTCCCTCTAGCGGGCAAAGTCGACCAGATTCTACATTTATAGTCTTCAAAGAATATCGTATTCTTTAGCGAATAGCTTATTTCCATAGCTATTGCGTAATCATATTAGCATAATTTCTAATGCGGTACCTAATCATTGTCCCCATCCTTTATACATTAGTTTTTTAAAATATATAATTTTATTCAAATTAATATTGTCATTATTTAATAAAGCTTTGAATATCAATTCAAAAATAATCCATGATATTCTACGGTTCTGATATTTTACTCCGCGTTTATACCAGAGAGCACAATGGTAAAGCACAAACGATGATAAACCATTGTTTCGAGCGGAGAACAGAAGGCCATCTATGAACGTACATGAAGTTAGTCAACACCTCGAATCCTGATGATGGGGTTACAGACCGTCAGACAAAAGAGCTCGTGTACGATCATCACATCACTGTCGCACACGTGACTTGCTTCGCGATCACCAAAGACACGATCTCAGAACGCAGTGGAGGGAGAATATTTTTCATGAATAAAATTTGAATTGTCTGAAGGTGATGCATCGTATTTTGTAAACGAAGAACCAATAAAGTTGAAACTGAAAACGTACAAATTTAGAAGATATGTAGATTCGTAGATAAACACAACCGGGCCATCCACCCACACTGTTTAGTGAACCACTTCGGCTTAATTTTGTAAAGCACCAACTTTTGAAATTACGAACCGCTGTTATGGTATGGCATCTAAATATTTCAAATTTTGTGAAAACTAATTGATTATTCTGCTCAGTTTTAGACAAAAAGTATGTTTCTAACTTATCATTCTAATTAAAGAAGAATCATCTACGGTTGCGCTAAAGAAATGCATTTTTCTATTTCCAGAGCAAAGCAGAGTTGTGGGAAATAACCTATTGAAATTATTAACACCAAATTAATTACTGATTTTGCGAAAAGAAATATCCTTTACGTCAATTGATCATTTACTAGTATTATAAAAGTATGAAATGAATTTTTGTGAAAGTGTTAAAACCAGATTTTTACTTTACCTGTTAAATTAGACTTCCACATAAGATCACTACGTACCAGATTCACGTGTGCCTTGTTATCGAAGTCAAACTCAGGTGTTGTCTCTTTGAACTGCGCCAGAATCTCGTTGTGGCGTGCCATGTCGGTGGCTAGGATGCAACGGATCATTCCTTCTCGCACCTGCCGATACACTTCCGCAGGAATGGTTCGGAAAATGTTGCAGTCTGCGTTTTCTAGAACTCTGAACGCCACGGAGCAATGATGGTTCTCTAGAGGTGATATGTCATTGTAGCGTAGAGCGAGCTCCGTCTTGGCATTTATCTATGCAACAAAAGTATAATCAGTGAGAAATGTGCATTATTTAATCAGATTAAATCAATGATCGAAAAGTAAAGGTACCTGATAAATATTGTTGTATCCAGGATGATCGAGATCGTGACATATACAAGATGTCAACAGTACCAGTGTCTCCAGGTCACCAACTTTAGATGGCAATTCAACAGCCCACACTATGGAATACATCTGCGAAAAACAAAAAAAAAAATCATATTACATATTTCCTTCATATAGTTGGTTTCCGGGGTTCAAAAAATTCTCAAAAATTTACTAATTTCACTGCGATAATAACTTATTATCTTTCCAAATCATTTATCCCTATAAGAAACTCATAACTTAATAGCACGTGATTGCGATAACAATAATAACTTATCAGAACATTCACAAACAATCGCCCAGTCCTCTTTCACACAATACATGTGCGTTCAGACGGTACCCAAATACCATTTCGATGAGAGCACTCACCATTTGGGCCACACAGAAGCTGTGTCGAAAGTTGTGGAACGGCACATCGTTGTAGTTCTTGTAGACCTCGTAAAGAAAGGCCCTCAGCACGGGCATCTCTATCCCGAACTTGGAGGGCAGATCCAAGTCGATGTACATCTGCTGCAGAAGGAGCAGAAGTTCTTCGTCTTCCCACTGGTAGCTATCAAACGTCGGTTGCCTCAGCCTCAACCGTACTTCTTCAGAGACGGCGGCGTCGCTGTAACGTTTCGAAGAGTTATTAGGCAACTTCAGGTTCATTTAACTTTTTCTTTGTCTTTTTAAGTAAACGATATTCCCACATGACATACCATCCACTGGCCGAGTTACAATAATACAGTCAACCATTCATAAACCTTTAAATTTCACATTTACAATTCATTATGCATTCAATTTTTATTTATTCGTATTTTCCATAAAGCAATCCCATTAAATAATCTGTATTAAATCACTTACATTTGTCTTATTTATCCATATCAGGAACACACAACAAACGAAATAAAACTGAACTGATGATTTTAAAAATATGAGAAGTCATCAGAAGGTTCGATTAACAATAGGTATTATACAGTGGTATACAAGTAGATAACATGAAGACGAGACATTTCTTTGGAAATCTCCAACCACAGCGCCCAAATAGGCGTGTATACGACTGTCCGAACTCAGTAATTGGTTGATATCTTTCTATCTCGTTCTTGTATTACTAAAGCAAAGGAATATGTAAAACAGATAAGACACAAATGTTTATTTGATAAGTAAATCAATGTAGCAACCTTCACATTCCACACCAATTCTGCAATTTTTATAGAAACAAACTTCTACCCAAAGCAAAGAAATATAAATAGTCATTCATATTCGAATGCCTTTTTCTTAAGAAAAATTAAGAAATATAGCAACATTTAGTTTGTAGAAAATATCACTAAGTGTAGGATATCGCCTGAATATTTCCAAGCGGGACTTTTGTCGGCTGAGAATTTTGGCATCAGGGCAGCATTATATTTATTCTTGCAATGAGTCAGAGAGACTTCATCACTTCCAATCTACTTACCATATACTGAAAAATTTTTCTCGAACTTTCTTCTTCATCGAGTCACTCTTACGACGATACTGCAGACGTCGACAAGCTTCTGTCGACAGTGGGGGAGCCATGTCCTTGTAAAACCCTAAAATCAGCACAAGTACATGGTCACAATTTCTAATAAACCTCTTTTTTCTTATATTTCCGGTATGGATATTGTTCTCAGGAAGCCTATTTTGTCTCCTCTTAAAATTAGTAATATTCATGAATATATAACCAAACCAAAATTTCGAAATTTATTATCAGCTGGAGAATAGATGGTTACTGACGACTGGCGTGGAGGTGCAGAACTAATTTTATTCAAACAACAAATATCAGCACTCTACTGCACCGTTCACTCGTGATTTATTTCGTAGTATAAAATACAAAGAAACATTTACAAGATTTGAAATCAGGCCTTAACTATGACTGTGCACCTAGAGATCCACGCTGCACGTACGAAATGAATTTAAAACCGAAAGTAGGTGGGAGTTGATTGTTCAACGTTGAAGTGAAGCTCAGGGCAGCTGAGGATGAGACCACCAGGCGCACAGGATCGACGAGAAGTGGAATTTCGGATAGTTAAACAGGAATGTCTTTTCAGGCATTCTTATCCTTTTACCATTGACAGGAAGGCAGAAAACTGAGCCGTCTAGTATTATGTGTTCGTTGAAGCAAACAAACTTGCTCCGAGGAATTACGGACATTTTCAGTGTAAACGTGTGACGTAGCAAAACATAATGTTTTCAGTAACCAATGGGATCTTTTTCCACCATATGTTTTCAGTGAAGACGTTATAATGCAGACGAATTTTGTTTGTTTCAATAAACATACGGATGTAAATTAATATATTCATATGTAAATGAATATATTACTTTATATATGATGAAAACATATTCTACTTAGCTTCGTACTGTAATTTACAGTTGAAGGAATAACCTCATTATTATTGTTACTGCCTCTTTCTACTATCAGCCCTAATTATTAATAAGACATTTTGTTCCTGTCGAATACATTTTTTGACATGATTACTTTCACAAACAATTTATATTGCACAGTGAGATGTTTCTACCCCATTTCGGGATTTTACTCTTGTGAAAACCTGAGTAGAAAAAGTGAAGAAAAAGCTCATGAGTTTTAGCATTTCAGAAACCGGCATTTTTTGCTGTAGCATTACAATATTTTCTCTACACCACGCATTAGCTAAAGTAAAAGTAATAATAATTTGAAAACAGTTTCTTTGGACAATGTAAATAGATTATTAATAAAATTATGTATGAAAATAAACATGTCATCAACAATAATTTGTTCTAATAAAACGACACACGTTAACCCCCCGGCAAGCACAGACTGCTACTTGATCGCTTGGATTACACATGCAAGGGTTGTGTGCTCAAATTCGATGTACTGGCTAGCAGTTTGCATCATCCATTGTTGCATCTTCAGTCGCTTAGTGAACAGCGCTCCTAAGCACACTCGGGTCTGGTAAGTTCCAAAGGATAGTAATGCGACATCGTTAGCAAAACATCAACATTTCAAAACTTCGATGTTCAAAATTCAAACATCTATGTTAACAGAACATCGCCCAAAACATTGATTTTTAAAGGTTGATGGTTTCAAAATTATAATTTAATAAAAATCAATAACTTATAACATTTACGTTCAGACGACGGGGAATTTAATTCGACAGTGGTCGCGTTTACTAATTTATAATTAAGGCCTAAGTGGCAAAACAAATTTCAAAAATAGATTAAGAAAACCGCCTGAAAACCTGAGCGCTCTGGGTCATTTCAAGAGGCCAGAACTTCCTCAGTTGGCCATAGGAAGACGCGGGAAGAAGTGGCTGGCTACACTTACTAGGCACGCGCCCACCGTCGCTCCGCGCGCAAACTACGAACAAGGGTGTGGAAAATGCCAGGGCAACGGGGGTCATCTTTCAGAGAAGTGATAATCTTCTTCACGAAGGTACTTTTTAAAGATCGCTGCGTTCGAACACATTAACTGACATTGCCACCATGAGGTATTTAATATTTTAACCTTAACAAAATTGAGATTCTGAAAATGTTATATTCAGTTAACTTCGTAAACGTAAACACATTGAACTCAATATATTGATGTCAAAAGCATCGAGCCCATTAATTGGATGTTTAAAACAGGGATGTTTCTAAAACCGCAGCGATGCGTCATGCGTTTGGCCGGAGGGTCAACGTGTCGAGGTGAGTAGCGCTGTGCGGAGCCTCACCCATCCAGCTGAGATGCTCGGCCGTCTCCAGCTTGGTGCGGAAGCGCTCCACCTGTTGCTGCAGCAGGCGCACGGCGGCCGGCAGCTCCCCGGGGTCCCCACGCAGCTGCGCCTCCAGCCGCGCCACCCTGCTCGCACGCGCACGCGCACGCTCACACTCACGCTCACCGCCACGCGCCACACGCTCTTGGCTGGCCGGTGCACGCCGGCCCTGCCTTCGACGCGGCCGGCGTCACCCGCACGGCCAAGAGCACTCGCAAGACCGGCCGCGGAAGCCTCCGACTTCTCTATCACACGTTTGGCGGAAAAGCTTTCTCACGTCAGCCATATAAACAACATATTGAAACAGTTTTCAGATCAAAATTGCAGGAAGCCTTGTGTGGACAATTGGATGGCATTTTGCGAAACAATTTATTAGACATAATCAAACAATAAAATTCCTCTCCAGTAAAATTTCCTCGAAGTCAGATTGCGAGGCACCGACGTGTCATTTTAACACAAACATCGAGAGACCATTCACAATGATCCCGAACGTAAAAGTGTAGACAGCATCTCATTGGTAAATAAATTTCGCTGAATCTTGACTTCTGACTTTTTTTTCGTAAGGCAACCCGCTTGACTTTCGTGTGTTTCAGTATTTCGAGTTGCAGCGACCCCTGCAATTACTATTCCAATATCACGTAATATTAGCTGGAACAGTGAGAAGAAGAAAAAGAAGACAGAGTACTCCTCTTCCTCCTCCTTTTCTTATTCTCTAATACGAAAAAATAAACAAAAAGAAAGAGAAGAAAAAAGAAGAAGATATCAACAATAAGAAAGTGAAAGATAAAGAAATAAGAGGAGATGTGAAGGACAATGATATGACGGAAGGAGAATAATAATGAGTAGAAGAAGAAAGATCTTCTAACTTAGGAAACTGTGTATTTGCTAATCTGTACTGACGAATCAAGTATTCTTTTATCTGTATTCTCAATGAATTTTCGTGGCAAACTTTGTTTCAAAATGTTATAATGTTTTGAGAAACATAGAAGATAAATATAAAATTATGAGTACAAAATAAAAGAAGAAAAACTATTATTCTGGAATACGTCACCTTTCTTCCAGGGCCCGCAGGTCCACACCGACTTCGTCCAGCAGCATCCCTGCAGCAGCAGATGACAGTACTATGGCAATGAAATGTAGCAATGACTTTTGTGACACAGTTGATGGTAAAAAACAAACGCAAATGTACATTAGACATACGTAATTTGGAGGTTAAAGATGCTGATATCTATCATTCCTCAAGAAATAAAGTTGCTCTTCATGTATGTTGATACCTCATTTTATGTTAAAAAGAGGAATTTTTAATTTTTAATGTTCTTGCCAAAAATCTAGTACATCTGATCTAGATATCCCGGAAAACGCAATGCATTTGCTATTGACTTTGATATTCCTTACATTAATGTGAACTTGAGAGAATTCTGTAAATCGATTTGCTTGAATGAAGTACATAAGTTATAAATATTTAAATAAACTACTACAATTTACTTAGAATACAAAATACTGGCATTTTTCTCGACATCCTTGCTCTGCCACGAAGTATTGGTGATGTCGATCACACGCGTAAATTAATATTCATTTATTTCTCATTAAAAACAGATAAAATCTCTGTTATGGAGTTGTTAGCTCTCAATTAAACAATGACAATCCAAGTTATCAAGCAGTGTACATCTCGTCAGCTCTAATACAATATATGATAAAGTTTTACACGAATACAACTTCAGAACCCATTAGGTAGTTTCTTATTCTTAGAAAAACTGCGCATCTCCGGGATGCCTAACCTCATTGATTTAATCCTGGATAGTTCCCCCAAGTTATTTCTCTCTCTTATCAATTTCTCCGTAAAACTGTCTGTATGTAAGTGAAATTCACAAGTCTAACATTGTGTTAATACTCGTAATGAAACTGAATATTCAGTGCACTTTATTAATACGAAAGATGTTGTCTAGCATAGATATTTTCACCACTTAAGATCTTTTGGATCGCGTATTGATAATCATCAGAGCTATTTTACTCCTTGTACATATTTTCAGATTAGCTCTGATGATGATCACTACGCGTTCGAAAATAACTTAGGAAATAAAAATATAGACACTATACAACATCATTTTCTCAAATTCGGTTAACATTGTCCACTGAATATGTTTTGCTAGAGAAAAGGTAAAGCCATGGTTATTTATAACACTTACTTTAATGTATATTATTGTTATAAATCAAAAACAATCCGGTCCAAAAATTGATTTTTTGTGTTTTCGTGATTCAGTTAAAGAGAAATAAATGATAATTAGTACACATAAACAAAGTATACACTAAGCAAATGAAAACACTTGTGACTTAGCCAATAGTCAATAGCATAGTCAATAACTAAAAAAAATTAAAAGTGGACTTAAGTTTAACTTGTTTAACGACGATATATTACAGTAGGACGCACATTTTTGCTTCCGGAGGATGCTTGCATGGCATATACCCCTGATAATCTATTTATAAATAAAAGGGAATGTGCGTATGACCGTCGCAAACTACTCGACCGATTTTGCTAAAATGTTCACACTTCGTTCTTATTATTATCAGGAGTATTTAAAGTGTAGTTTGGATTAAACCAGACATGTGGGAGCGTTGATTTTGCAAAGCTAATCGACGAGGTGGGCTCTACGTAGTTGCCAGAGGACTTTGATCGAAATGCGATTTATGGATGTCTTTTTGAACTACACGCCTCGCTTCGACTCATAACATCAAATAACGAGGAAGTTGCAATCTAGAAAGCAGGAAGTCTGAACCAAATGCTGACTGTGCAAAGCATTACTAGAATATATGATTTTTAAAGTGAAGTGTCAAATAGTAAAGTGACACGTAGTCAAATTGTAGTTAATACGTAGTTAATCTCTTTTGAATAAATTTATTTAGAACTTGACTCGTATTTATTGAACACTGTACAAGAGCAAAGCGTTCCGTACCAAGAGAGAAGCGCCGTGGTCCGTGTGTGCGTGCGTGGGTGGGCGGGTGCTGGGAGGCACGTACCTTGGCAGTGCGCGGCTACCACTTCCAGGCGGTAGGGGCGGTCCGCGCTGTTGGGCGCCAGGCGCGAGGAGATGTTGAGCAGGCGGCCTCCGGGGCCGTACAGCTTGAGGATGTCGAGCGGACCGGCCTCGGCCGCCGAGCGGAACAGATCTGCAAGCAAACACCTCCAATGACACACGCGGTAGAGCGGGGATGCGGGATATGTTCTCCGCCTCATTCAGGGTTCCATCAGAGTTGTGAAGTGTAGTGCAACAGTAGAGAGAGAGAGAGAGAAGTGCAAGTATAGTGAAGTGAAGTGAAGCGCAGTGTATTTAAAAAGTGTATTTATTAGTTAAATATTAAGTGCAGGGCAGTCATAGAGTTCATGCTGTTATTGTTATTATTGTCTCTATTGTTATATTATTATTACTATTGTCTTAAAATGTTTTAAAATTACATTGTATTACTATTCCTAGTTGTAATATGTAAATTGTAGTGTTCTGCCACCTGGTTGTATACCTATCTGCAGAAATAATAAATATATCCATCCATCCATTTATCTATCTATCTATCTATCTATCTATCTATCTATCTATTTATTTATCTATCTATCTACCGTTAGACGCATATCAGACCAGGCAAATTACCGAAAATGGAATAATTTATAAAGTTTTATAACTTTATTAAAAACACGCTTTGGGAGTGTAGTAATACGAGACAGAAAAGTTCCCTACGCTGGGGAATGTAGCCGCCCTTTCCACCCCTCAAAATGTGTAATTTAACATCGCACCTCCCCCATTTCACGCAAAACTGATCGTTTTCACACAAAAGTACTAGTATTACAAAAATAGTTTAAATACAATTTTGCACAAGAATATTATTAGCATGTTTCTTGAATGTCGAACCGTTTTCGAGACATTCTAGTTTTAAAATTCATTATCGTTTATTTTGGTCTTATTTTCGTCATTCTTCGTGAAAAAGGGTGTACGTTTCTTTAACTTAGGAACTCATTGAAGTTTTTAGGTTATGTATTTAAGATAAAAAGGAAGAAGTAAACCAGCTCACCCATCTGAGTTTTTAAACTTAATTTACCTGGATTTTTTTTTGCTGATTTTTCTGGCCACATTACTCATCCTTCGTCATAATTAATTATTATTACTATTATTATTTATAAGTAAGGTATAGGCAGACGGTATGGAATAAAATATAGGAACATATAATATCGTGGGGAAGGTGTAGCATGAAAAGAAATTGTTAGGTGTATGCCTACCCCTTCGGGTTCACCGTTTGGAGACGTATTGTTTTCAACGCCACGGTTTGTTGGTGAGGAACTGACCGTATTTTCGTATCTTTTTAATATAATTAAAAAATACAACGAAAAGCATTCAGCAGAAAAAATTAAAACTGTTTAAAACTTTACAGGCGCCACTTGGAGCGAATATATCCGAAATTATTCAATATTTATTTTCCTGTGTTTTTACAATTATGAAAGCAACGCTTATAGTTGTCCAACGTCACCCTCATAGTATTTTCCGGATCACCGGAAATTACCTCCTTAATTTGATAACTCTATTTCATTTATTTCTGCGTTCGGTGTTAAAAAGGTATCATAGTAACACGAATGTTTTGGTAACAAGTTTCTAAGCTGGAGGTAGATAGCAAACGAATATACAAAGTTTAGATGAAAAGCGATCTACAGAAGTTGTAATAGTAATTAACGTTATTAAGCCAATAAACAGCCAACCAAGTCTGTTATTTGTGTTATCGGCCGTGTGTCGTTCAATACTTTTCGTAAAACCATTTTCTTGTAAGAAACAAAACTGTTATGAATATAACATTCGGACGGCCGGCCGGTTAAAACCTTCTCGTAGTACTCGTACTGTGCGTTAATATACCTGCATAACACAACCCCGTAGAGGAATCTAAAGGCAATCTTCATGACCGTCCGTAAAGAAATTAACGTCCGCCGGCCGTTAAGGAGCCTAGCGATCTTCGAACTATTTATTAAAGTTAGAAAAAAAGATGAGAAACAATATAAATAACAAACACACGACAGAAGTAACAACTACAAAAGTAATTTTGAACAGTATATATAATGAATACATATTTTTTTTTGTTTTTGTGTAATTCAGTGTAACTAGCACTCTCCATTGTTAGTGGTTTCTACATAAAGCCAATGCCACACGTTCGGGTCGTCTCGACATGGGACCAGAGGACAAATGAAGCAACGGGACAAAATGGGACAAGAGGACGGAATGGGACAAGGGGATGCGCTAAAATACTAAAAATTACAAACTTTTTTATGTAGCACTTGCGTCCAGTAAACATTTTCTAAATGTTCTTACGATAAAATCTTGGTCTTGAAAATGTCACGTCTAAAGCAAGAATAGTATTGATTTGTGATGGAAGATGGCATTGCACTCCTACTGTAACGTCGTACCAAGGGGCCAGATGGAACACACATATCGGAAGGCCAGCGAGGGGGCGGAGGCAGTCCTTTGGCGGCAAGGGGAAGGCCACCAGAGGCGGGCCCTCCTCAAGGGCCGGGTGGGCGTGTCTCGGAACGCGTGTGTCAACTGGCGCAGAGGGAAATGATGGGTGAGTCTAGCCACGGTGCAGCTGGACTCCAAAATTGGAAACAGGCCCACTATTCGGGATGAGAGGACGCCGCCGGCATGTGAGGTCTGTCACGTGACCCCTCGCGAGGCGGCTGGAGAGCAACCAGCCGTGGTCATTCGAGTTTGAACCGAATCGCGGTGCGGAAGGCACATTTCACCCGCTAGGGGTTATCGCGAGCTTCGGCTGTGAGATGTGGCGGTTGCCATGGGACGAGAGACCAGGAGCGGCGCCAAGCCGCTGGGGTCTGCGTCAGACTGGGCGGGGATGCCTCAGAGATGTGCAGTGCTGTGAGTGCAGCGCTAGTTTCCGAGGAGTGTGTATAGTGTATAAAAACTTGTAAATAAAACTGTATAAAATCTGTGTGTTACTCGCACCCGACGACGCCACACCACGTATTCAAATCAAAGTTCTTTCTTACATACATTATTTTTTTTCTTCTAAGAAGATGATATTACGAAACGTATTGAACGGCACACGGCCGATATCACAAGTAACAGACTTGGTTGGTTATAATCCTCGGCTGTCACTTCGGTTTACAAACTTCAACCGCATCTGTTATTTGGAGTTATCGGCCTAATAATAACGTAAATAACTATTAACGGGCGCCACTAATTATGACTTCTCGTTCCTTGTTTGGTTGCGTGAAAACGATATTATAACACTGCAGAATTACAAAAAATGTATTAGAAGTGTAATGCAATTAAAAATGTAACATTTAAGCATATGAACAAAACTATAGCCGATCTGGATGGCCGAGGTAGCTACAGACTGGATACCGACTCAGCGCTTCGTTCTGAAGTGTCGCAGATTCGATTCCTGACTTAGGCATTGTTGTTTGTCTCCAGTCTCTCATGTTCGTGTCCGCAATAGGCCTCGTGTTCTGCTGACCACAAATCAGAGGAACTCGCAAGTGTGTTAGTGTATAGTGTATGGTCAAAGATGCGTCCCATCGTGACGTAGGGGATAACCGGCCGTCAGCTGGATAAATACCCTTTGAAAAGAATTATTTAATTCATTATTTTGCTATTTAGACAGTTTTACGCTCTTTGAACAATGCTTAAGTATAAATCATTACCATTGTTTACCATCAGGTTCAAGTCATAAAGGTATATAATTCGATAACCTGAAAAGGAATGCGAATAAATAATACGTTTAACAGCGACTTCCCTTAAATGACTGTCAATTTAGGTCGTGACACTTGATAATGAGAACTCATAATGAATTTCAATTCATTTACTCTTGGAGCCGACACTATGAGTGTCGATTACTCATACCAACCTAAGTCTAAGATTATTCTGAAATAATTTTGTCAGATTGTCGTTTATGAAACTCAACGTCTTTTGGAGGAATACAATTATTTTCAGGTTGAGATTTTTCATTTCAAAACATTTTCGAAAGAAAAAATCGTTCTCTAGGGAGATTTAATTAAAAATTTTCTAACACGCTGATGATTTTAAACCATACAGTAATTTATGAACGCATTTCGATTTCACAGAAATGACTATTAAAGAGGATGCAATTGTTCAATTCCTCCTCTACGACACATATTTTCGATATATTCTTGCTCTCAGTGGTACCATTAGAAACACGGAATTTAAAAGCTAAGGAAAAGTAATACATATATCAAAAAGAAGAGTGTATATTGGACTTTGGATACATCGGAACTCAACCGGAACGCCAAGAGAAGACTTATTGAAGATACATAAATATGACAAATCGCTACCGAAAAAATAGGAATAAGAATCAATACAAGAAAGAAATGAGGTAGTAATCTCCTTTGGCTTCGAGTCATGTTTCAAAAAATCACATTTTCTTGTGATATGTTATCGAATGCATTGACTATCAATTTTAATACTAACAAAATATAAATTTCCCTTAATTCTCTCCTGATATAGTTTTATCGATAGCTCCCGTCCCGAGCTGAACCGTCCAGGTCAAAGAACGAAGAATGAAAGGGGGAGAAGGCTAAAAGAGCGAAGGGGCGATCCTGTCCCGGCCGCCTTCACAAAGCTTCTCAAAGCTGGACGGTGCGGCAGGTCGCCGTCGAGGGCATACGGAGGGGGCGGAGAGAGGCGGAGGAGGGTAGGGAGGAGAGGGAGGCGGGCGGGGCGTCGCGCCGCGCGTGCTTAGTCCGCGGCCGCTATTATTATCTTTTACGGCGAGGACCCGGCCGCCCACGTCGCCGCCAGGGGAGCAAACAGACCCAGGGCGTTTAATACTGTAGGACCAGGCGCGCGTCTGGTAAAGCGGAGAACTGCGCGGGCCCGCCTTCGGCGACCGCCATTGCGGTGCTGGGGCGCTCTCTCGGCGCGCCGTCGAACTATCAAACGCAGCGTGGTGAGTTCGTTCGCTAGAATGCGCTGCATGTCAGCTCCACTGCATCTGCCATTTATGATACGAAATGCCTTACTTAATAGAACCTCAGAGGAATGCAATAAAAAGACCTGTGCCACTGAAAGGACCCTACATCGCGAAGACCAACAATTGAATTGACGACATCGCGCGGCAGAAACGTTATGGAATAAGATAATCAATTATATGAGGAAATTGTCCTTGGAACTATAGTGAATACATATGAAGTTAATTAATACAACCATGACTATTTTCTTTCACTGGATCCAGCCACGGGAGATAAATCTTCCCAATTCATGAAAAATGACAAAACAATTTACTGTAAGTGTGAGTCTATCCAGCCAAACTAGGCAAACAGAAGGGACCAATGTAGAGAAATTATCTAAAGTATTCCTTAAAAAAGGAGAGAAAATCCGCTCGTTGCTTTAATATTTAGAAATAAATTATAATCTTATTGGAAAACTTTTACAAAGAAGAGAATCGTTAAAAAAAATAATTCTCTCTCTCTCTCTCACACAGCAAAGAATCATGGCTATCTCCACGCTCTTTTTCGGATCTGAGAACTGAACTATAACAAAAAATTAAGCCAGCCGAATTGATGCTGCTGCAATGAAATTTCTCATATATGTGGTAAATACACCCTTCAAGAACAAAAAAGAAATGACGCTTTACATCAGGAACTAAATATCATGAGCATTTTTCATAAAATCGAGAGATACGTAAATGGGTTGCAACATTTTGACAATATGGTGGATTTCAGCATCGCAAAATAACTTCTCAACTACAGACCTCAAAGAAGAAAAAGTGTGGGACGTCCAAGGAAACGGAGTGATACATTTAAACCCAGCATTATAGTACTTGAGACCGAAACAAACCGCTTGGTTTAATTCCTCAAAATTATTATTATTAATAATAATAATAATAATAATAATAATAATAATAATAATAATAATAATAATAATTTGTCTTACATTTGCTGACAGAGAATATATCGCAGATAGTTGATTATTCAAGAGGGCGGGTGCGTGAGTATATAATTTCTAAAGAGCACCTACTCGTCTTGTAGCTACAGCGTGTTTCGTATTCGATTGTCTTTTTAAGATTTTAATATACCTTTTCTAACAGTAGGCCTACGCATGCGTGATTGATGGTGTCATAGTGATTGTGATAGCGCACGTTATTACATCGAATAAAATAATAATAACAAGCCACTTAGTCTACTACGAAAACGAAAGTAAACAGCCGTACTTATCGAAGCTGGGATATTTCTTTTGAAATATTTATGTAAGAACTGAACCAAACTCAAAAATCATTTAACACAAGTAAGTGCAACGCCTCGAGTTATTATACAAGATGTCTTTGAATCAATGTAACAAAAAATGATGTGTAGGAGGGTCAAAGATAAATATGTGGAGGGAAATTTAATTTACCGAAGTTAAACATGTGTCACTTGCCCCGTACGCTTCAGTGTTTAGCGGGAAGCGACTTTGCATCTGAAAGTGATCTTGCATACACCAACGAATAGCGGATTTCTTACCAATGGGAAGCCAAGGACACAAGTGTAACTTCGTTATATGAAATTTCCCACACCATGTCTCTTGGGAAAGTTATCACATTTGATAATAATAATTATTATTATCATCAATCAATCATTTATTTTACCAGAGATAGAAGTTTAACAATTACGTGGACATACACAATGTCTGGGGAGAAAAGGTAGAAACTTCGAAAATAAGCGCTTAAGACAATTTTGATCATCTTTTGCCTAGTAAACAACGTGAGTATAACGAAAGAATGATCCGTTATTGCACACTTAAAAGTTAGTTGGATGAAATGATTTCTAGACAAAACTTGCATTATAAAAGCATAGACATGCCCCATGAACATGTAAATAGCTAATTATTTACAAAAGAAATGAATATATTTGTTCAGAAAGAAAAATTAACCCAGAAATAAAAAAGAGCATCCAATTTACACAATTCGACAACTTATTTTATTTCTTGCTTAATTTTTCTTTCTGAACAAATATATTAATTTCTTTTGTAAATAATTAACTATTTACATGTTCCTGGGGCATGTCTATGCTTTTATAATGCAAGTTGTGTCTAGAAATCATTTCATCCAACCAACTTTTGAGTGTTTATTGCTGCTCAACCACTCGGAACACTCACGTAGTTGACAAAATATGCTCAATATTGTTTTAAGAAGTTATTTTCGAAGTTTCGACGTTTCCTCCCCGGACACTCTGTATGTACCCAGTTTTGCAACTGTCATCCATCTCTGGAACCCCATAGTTAGTATTTACCATGTAATTGTTAAAAAATATATTTTGACTGTGTAGAGAATTAACAGTTCCAGCAGGAAAACGAAACAGGATACCAGGCGCACACTGGGTGCAAACCGGGAGATGGAGGTTCGATTTCCGGCTGGGGCAGTCAATTATTTGAATAATAATAATAATAATAATAATAATAATAATAGTAATAATAATAATAGTAAAACAAAAGCGATCAACGAAATATCTCTATTAATAAAAAGCCTAGAAAGGTAAATTTTACCATGTATTTACGATTATTATTATTATTATTATTATTATTATTATTATTACTATTATTATTTGCGTAAAAGCCATTTCTGACCACGCTACACGATCTCTTCCGAGGCTCTTAATATTCTATCCTGGAGAGAGATTAACGTGTGTAATGATGGGAATCAGCTTTTCGGCTGTATCCCTTCGTAACACTAGCCACGAGGTGGCTACCATATGTTATTATTGTTATTATAATAAGTACAATTGCTGCTTGTGGCAGCGGGGAAGGGCCACTCACCCTTGAGCTCGTCGGAGGAGGCGTCGGGCGGGAAGGCGGCCGCCTCGCGACGCGCGCCCGCGCCCACCAGGAAGTGCACCACGCGCCACTCGCCGCCCTCCATGGGCCACTCGCCGCCCCCGCGCCGAGCCGCCCCCGCTCACGCGGACCGCGCCCGCGCCCGCAGCCCCGACCCCGACCCCGAGCCCTGGGCCTCAGCCGCCAGCCGCGCGCATCGCCTCGCCCCGCGCCTGCAACACACACGCACACACACACTGTGAAACCAACATGAGCATTAACATTCCACAACAATAAACAGCAACATGCAGCACTCAAAATACAGATATTTTACAAATTGACGCATGAAAAGGCGTTCTACTCGTATTCACGTTTACTTTTTTTTCACACTTTTTGTTCACACACTCAAAAAGCTCATCACATTAGGTACTTCCTGAAATTCTGTAGGTACGATTTTCCAGCATTTCCTTTGTGTTCTAATCTAGATTTTCTCTCAAACTGACAATATTTATTCTACATCAAGCGATCACTGTGCTGATGTTTAATTAATTTACATATTTAATGCCACAACCAAATATACTGAGGAACATGTAGACTGCTACTGTTTCTGATGTTCCTCATCGAAACTTTTTACACGCACACATTATATATTTTATTTATATGTATGTATATATAAGAGAGAGAGAGAAAGAGAGAAAGAGAGAAAGAGAGAAAGAGAGAAAGAGAGAAAGAGAGAGAGAGAGAGAGAGAGAGAGAGAGAGAGAGAGAGAGATTAGAGATCTAGTGATCAAAAGATCAAAAGTATCACGTCCAAAATGGTGTTACGCTGTGGTCGAGTTTTTTATGGAGAGGGCTTCCACCCCTTGTTGTTTTGTATGGCACTATCACGGCACAACGTTGATGTTTTAAACGCCTTCTTGCTTCCCGTTGTTGAAGAGAAATTCGGGGATGGCGATTGCATCTTTCAACACGATTGAGCACCTGTTCATACTGCACGGCCTGTGGCGGAGTGGTTACACGACAATTACATTCCGGTAACGGACTGGTCAGCACAGAGTCCTGACTTGAATCCTATCGAACAGCTTTAAGATGTTTTGGAACGCCGACATCATGCCAGGCCTCAGCGACCTACATCGATACCTTTCCTCAGTGCAGCACTCCGTGAAGAATGGGCTTCCCTAAGAAACCTTCCAGCACCTGGTTGAAAGTATGCTTGTAAGAGTGGAAACTGTCATGAAGGCTAAGGGTGGGCTAACACCATATTGAATTCCAGCATTACCGATGGAAGGCGCCTCGAACTGATAAGTCATTTACCGATATTGTAGCAGGTTCTCAATGAAAAAATTGCTTATAGTATTGACCGTATGGCCTTGAAAACAACAGACAATCCATTTTTTCAAATAAGTGCTAATAAAATCTAACAGGAGTATTACTTAAAAGGCGACTGAAACATTTTTATATTTACATCATAATATTACGTAAAGAGAAACGTTTGAGAGGTTGAAAACAGACTATCTTTATGAATATTTTTATACCAATCTTTTGAAGGTGAGTAGTCCCAAATTAGTTTATAGACAGACAATTTGTTGCACACTTTTCTTTATTATTCGGGTTTCGCATGATTTGAAACATGTTTCCGGGATAGGTTGTCCCCATCATCAGGCATACACATTACATTAAAATTATGAATTTAAAATGGCTAAGATTCTAATATTAAAATTTCTAAGAAATTTCAATTTTAATGTTATTCTTATACAATTAATTTATTATTTAATTATTAAATCGTTATTCTTAAAATTATGAATTTAAAATTTCTAAGATTTTAAAATAAAAATTTCCAAGAAATTCTGTATTACTGTTATTCTTAGAAATTTTAAATTCATAATTTCAATGTGATCCTCTTGGATGTTTAGCCAGATGATGAAAAGAATTGTTAAGAAACCTTTGAGATTTCCTTTGTAGAATCAGTACAAGATAAATATTATTGGAGGAAGAACGATTGGTATACAAAAGCAGTCGAACATCCATTCATCACGTTTACACCCCCAACTACTAGCCTTTATTACGGTAGTACTACAAGGAGCGCGGGCTCGTAAAATGAGGGCAGATTTGACGAGGACGTTTGCAAGTGCGCGTCAGAGGGCGGCGGAGGGTCCGCTGGAGGGGCGTTAGCACTGGCGGGGGACGTAGGACGCCACGCGCCCCGCACCGCGCCCCGCCCCTCCCCTCCCGCCGGCGCCGGCTCCGTCGTAAAGGCGGGAGATCGTAAAGCGCGGGCGGCGAGGGCCCCGTCCGTTCCTCCGAGACGCAGGTTGGGGCTGCTGGCCGAGACAAGGACGGGCGCGCGGGAGGGGGAGGGTCGGAGGAGAAGGAGAGGCGGGCGGCGAAGGCTCTCCTCTGATGAAGCCGCGTCCAGACGACCCCCGAGAGGCTGCTCATTTGAGGGAGGGACATTAGCCGATAGAGGATCTGGGGCCGGAGCAGCACGGGGCGGCGGCCGATCGGGCGGGCGGATGGGTGGATGGGCGAATGGACCCGTAGACGGCGAGCGTGGTCCCGGAAAGGCGGGCTTGGGGACAGACGGGAGGGCCAACTGGCGGACGATGTAGGCGGGCGGATAGACGGGACGGGGGAGCAGGCGGGCGGGGGGGGGGGGCGGATGTGCGGGCGCCAATAGAGCCCTCCCCGCCCTGTCGACGCTGTGCTGCTTCACCCTCTGCCGAGATCAGTGATTACCAGCGCGGATCCGAAATCCGCAGCCTGGCTGCTCGCCGTGCGGGGAGCTTTCCCGTGTGTCGGGCCAGTGGGGCTTAGGAGGAGTCTTTCATCAATGACTGTTCTGCCTCCCAGTTGACTTCAGACGGACGCGTATTTTCAAAAATTACCACATTCAGGCTGGTTTTAAAAGTAGTAGGTCTCCACATTGCCTTTTTGTATCCATGAACAGTCACGAGTCACGCAGATTTCATATATACATATATAATCATTCGTCAAGACTGTGGGCGCCATTGTAATTACATACAGCGTGTATACATTGTATGCCATGGAATTTCATTGAAGATAACACTGGCTGCTGATAAATGGTTTAGAATTCAAATTTGTATTCAGATTTTTTTAACGTTGTCCCAAATGAAGGATAAAATATCTTAGTAATTGATTATATTTGAATAATATTTATTACGTACGGTTAGATATATTTTCTTTAAAATTTCAACATCCTATCTACAGATAATGTATAAATTATTATACATCGGAAAATATCGAAAGGCTAACACCGCATCAGTAACATCATCTGTGAAACCTCAATTCTGCATGAGTTACACAGTTCTAAAATAGGGAGTAGGGTAACTGGAAATGTATTAACTGACAAATATAGTTAAAATAAGACATTTTAAAGCAATAGTGCCAACACGTCATAAGTTGGTTGAAGCAGAAAATATTTATTACCTACATACCATGATTAAACAACGAAATTGAATTCAGATTTAATAATTGATAATAAAATGGTACCAGAAACGAACTCATACACAAAGGAGACGATTGCTGCCCGTAAACTCTTTACATTAACTACCTTTACAGTTATTATGGAACAGGCCTTTTAAATCGGGAAATCAATGCATCACTGAAAGCTCATGAAGGATCATCGGTTTTTAAACCAACGTACAGTGCAATACAATTTAAGCTGAAGAAGATTCAGCGACTTTAAATTTTTAAGTTTCAATACACCGTTTATGTGAACTCGTTTTGTATAATTTGGAACTTGCCATACCTTTTCCTTATCAAGTTCATTTTTATCAACGAAGTCTATGAAGACAGGATGCAGCTTCCTACTCGTAACTAATGTTACTCGCTACTAGTAAAATTTATGAATAACCAAACCACATTTCAAAACAATATGTATATACTTTGTTGAAATGTGCATGATAGACAACACATCACATGTTGTTTCATCAGCAAAATACTATATTTTCTATTCCTCAATATTCCTCTCTCATGAGGGGAGTTCCGATTCGTGTTGGTAGCAATATGGGCATTCTGAATTGCAAATAAATTATTTTTTCTTCGTTAATTTCTCTACGCTTCCAGCGTGATAGTCCAGAGCATCTCTCCATCTGACATTTCATTCTTTACAATCAAATCACAACTCAGTTAAATGGCTCCGATCTGTCAGAAGACAAGCGCCGGCTGCCCCCCGCAACTTCGCTTCTGGGGAGATCTAGCTACGGGCTTCTGCGGTCACCCTCAGGGCGGATTCAACACAACGACGGTTTCTGGCCGATACATGACTACCATTTATGCATTTATTTTGACCGTCGAAATTTTATTGGCAATGCCGCGTCCGCTCTGTGTTCTTTCTGCGCTAAGCTACACACTCCGTAATGTCGCTAGAAAGCGTGAACGGAGACGAACCACGCTTGTATTCCTCGCAGCCCAGGTGCAGCTTGGTCGCGCAGGCGGAGGCAAACGCTTAAACAGCCCGGGCATGCGCACGCAATTCCGCGCCCCTCCGGCACCGCGCGTCCGCCCCCGCCCCCACCCCACCCCCTCGCCGGAAGCGGCGACAACAGGCGCTTCCGCCGCCGCCTCCGCCGCCCCCGGCCCTGGGCCACGCGCGTCGCGGCGCACGGGCAGTGACGGAAGGAGGCGGGGTGAGGGTGAGGCGGCGGAAGCACGCGCAATTGGAGGCCGACACGCACGTAATAGCGGTGGTATCAATGGCTCAGCAGCATCATTAACCGAGTGGTCCAAGGCTCTCACTCACTACAATACTGAGTCGAATTTAATCGCTGTCTGGAGGAGAATTCTTGCGGTAGGCGGCTCTGATCGGTAGTTTTCCGTGGTTTCACCAATCAGTACCCTACAAATCTTACACAGGCAACGGACCGCGTTCCTTCTTCACCCATGTCCCCCCTCTCCCCAAGCGCAAACGTTTTAGAAGCAAATACTATCATAGCTTTCGGGAACCTTGAGTTTACCTCGGCAGGCGCAGTTCTCCATTGAAGAAGATACTTGGAGGGAGAGAAAAGCAAGTTGACGTTCAAGTTGGTGGTGAATCTCACGTGCCAGTGGGGAAGGGGGTGGCAATGTCAGCTTTCAGCACGCTCACCATTACTACACTTACGGGAGTAACGACCTCGACTGTTGACGGTCTGGAATGAATACCAC